TGGGGGGGCTTTAAATTTTTTTAAACCTGAAAGGGTGGCTTTGAAAAATACAGAGAGACGAAAGAGGGGGGGGGGGGTTACTAGTTTTAAAAATGTATGACAAAACAAATTACTATTCATAAATGGAGCCAAATAAATAGTCTCTCATGTTCATGCGAGTAATGCAGGCTCAAGGAATAAAGAGAGCCTGCAGCAATCTCAAGGAAATTTGATAACCTCCCACTAATTACTATGATTATTTATTTCCTATCCAACCAAATGAACCAATCATATTTTCTGAAATCTGTGTCCGTGATGCATTGTGAGTAATAACTATAAATATACTTTAATTTATTACTATTGTAGTTCATATGGAGTGGCTCGAGAATTCAAACACTTTTAAAAAATTGGCAGTTTAAATTACTTTTGGAGTAAATAAAACAGAATTTACACCGGCGTTGTCGGTTTGGTACATTTCGATACATTAGTATGTGATACAATTCACTAAAACAAAACATTTTGACTGGATACTGCTGTTTAGATGTCGATACTGAACAGACTATTTTTACGTATTAAGGTGGCTCGATATAGTTATCACAAAAACCCTGTTCAAGAATCGCGAACTCAAAACCGGTTGACCATTTTTACGCGCAGGTCGCGGAAACTGATTAACAAAATGAAAGAACTTCCAAAATAACCTGACGTGAGCAGTTGCTCGCGCCATCTCAGGCCATTGCGCGTGTTCTATAGCGTTTTATGTCAATTGCTGACGTCATTAGAATTTTCCATTTTAAGGCTTGTTTACACTTGCAATTCTTGCTGCGATTTCAGGTGCGATTTTCTTCTTCTGATGGATGTGAACGAGTGGATGAGTTATAAATGTTCAGATGAGGGTACTTGTACTCTGAACATTCCTAACTCATCTACTCGTTCACATGCATCAGAATAAGAAAATCGCACCAAAAATCGCAGCAAAAATTGCAAGTGTAAACGGGCCTTTAGAAAAACAATGCGCTATATCTCTTTATTTTGTCTGGTGACCTATGTTCAAATTTTGCATGCTGTATTGCAACGCTAAAAATTTTCATTATACAAAAAATTAAAAAATTCTGTAATGCCAAAAAAATGTTACCAAAGAATATGACATTTTCGCATTTTCCAAAAAAATGGCATTACAGAAATTTTTTATATTTTGCTAATTGTTAGCTTTTCGTCCAAGTAAAATAATGCACGAAAAAAATTGGGGTCACCATGCTTTTTTTCCAACTATACGAGACGATAGGCCATTTTGGAGTCAATTTCGTACACGTATGTCGTCATAGCAACGAACTATCTGTTACCAAAACGAATATAATTTGAAAGTAGAGTTATCAAAATATATAAAAAACCCAATATCTGCTGAATAAATCCTAAAAATGCGTAGTTTGAACATGTCAAAGTGTTAAACACCTGAATTTTTGAAAACTGTATCGAGCCACCTTAATAATAAACGGAACTCAAAAATATATTTATATCAAAAAGAAGACAATACCATCTCAGGTCCAAACATTACAATAAATTTCAAAATCATACATATTATGACCAGCTATGAGCAAATATATGTTTTAAAATTGCAACGGCTGAACAGTATAAACGTTTACAAATTGACAATAACAAACTCTTAAAATATGAAAATATATCACAATACAAGCTAAATTGCACTGTAGTTTGTAGTCTGCGGTAAAACTCATAAAAACCGATGAAAGTTTCATAAATACATAAAGCGACATGTATTTAATAGGATACATAATTTGTCAAAATCAGTATTTTCAAATTGATCCAGTATGGCTACTGTATTATTTAGAGAAATATCAACACGTGCATGGGTTTGTAACCATGCTCTTCGACTTTGTCAAGGCAGATATCCAATGAGAAAACATGCCAAAACATATCAACGATTCCCAGCTGTTCAGTTTTTAGTTTAAAACCCGAGTGTAGACGTGCATTTTTGAGCTCCGCGATTTCCTCACTTAATGAAATATCATGGAAGTAGATCTCTGCTCTCACCTAAAGTTTAATGGTGAAAAGTTCTACTGGGACAGCACAATAACTGATTTAAAGGTTTTTGTGTCATGCGATTTAAAACTTACGGGAAGATGGTCATCACCTGGTGGCGAAGTTAAAACATTTACTAGTGATACACTAGTCCTAAAATGGCATGGTAAGACCAACAAATGGATAACGTTATCTGGAAGTTCGACTGAGGTAAGTGAACTATCTCAGACACTTCAATCATTGTGCAAGAAAGCCGAAGAAAACCAAGCCGCCATTGTTGAAATTCATCAGACCCTGCCGACTAATAACGGTAAAGAAAAACCGAGTGTTCATCTTGCCGCACCTACCGAAAACCAAACCGAATATTCTGTACGATCTAATAATGATGACAAGTCCTATGAAGATAATTTTGCTAGCATCGAGAATCAACTTAAAACCCTGGAGTCAAAATTTTTGGATAAAACGCTAAGTCTTGCTAATGATTTAAACAATCTAAAAAAATACTGCTTAAACAATGAAGTTGAAGGTATGAATATATTAAGACAAGAGAACGCAAGTCTTAAAGTAGAAAACGAAGCCTTAAAGGATAGCCTTTATACGGCCAAATTTGCTTTATCTGATTTGAATACGAAAGTTAAAGATCTCGAACATGAAAAAGCTAGCTTAACTACGACGTTGAAGATCTTATATACAGATTTTCATCAAGCCCATGAAGCTCGCTTCAAACAACAAGATCCGCCCATTGTAGTTGATAACAATAACCATGCAAATGATGAATCACCGAGTTCAATAGCTGAGAGAGATGTTGGTAATTGCTTAAGTCATACAGCTGATGAAATTATCCTTATTCCCGATGACCAGCCTAATGCTGATAACAAAGTCTGCCCAACAATGCAAAAAAGATCTAAGTCTGGTAAAGTAAAAGCCAAGCCTAAATCTCAGAAAGATAATGAAATAAATCGGGTCGAGCAGCAGTCATCAAAGCAAAATTCAAATGCTCAACGCAGCGATAAAAGTCAGTCACCCAAGAAAAAAGTCACTGCCGTACTCGGGGACTCAATTATTAAAAATCTTCAAGGCTGGCGACTTTCAGATGACAATAATCACGTTGTAGTCAAAAGTTTTGCAGAAGCCAACTGTACTGATATGGAAGACTACTTGAAACCTGTAGTTCGAAAAGAACCCGAGAACATAATTCTCCATGTTGGAACAAACGATCTAAATAAAAGTGCCTCGCCAGATCAAATAGCACAGGGAATTATCAACTTGGGAATCCAGATAAATCAGGACTCCCCTCAAACAAGCATTACTATATCAGAAATTTTACCTCGAACGGACAAGTCAAATCTACTAATCAAAGCTAATCAAGTCAATGACATCGTGAAAAAGTATTGCGACCAAAATAAATGGGGCTATATTAACCATAAAGCCAATAATGCAACCTGTCTGAATTCAAAAGGACTCCACTTGAACAAGAAAGGTACTGCCATTATTGCTAAATCAATCTCTTCTTATATTATTAATCATTGATTAGTAGCGACGGGTATGTCTAACCAAACCTTTTCTAATGTTGATAAAAGCGATTCTAATACGCACAAACAAACTGATTTCAACTTACCTAAACACAGAGGCTTCAAAATTGCTTTTCTAAACATTGCAAGTTTACCCAAGCATATCGATGAATTAAGATTAAACATGCAACATCAATATTTAGATATACTGGTCTTAAACGAAACTCGTCTTGATGAAACTATTAGTAATTCTGAAATATCAATTGATAAATATACTTTAGTTAGGAACGATCGAACACGACACGGAGGCGGTGTAGCTATGTATATCCGAAATTCAATTAATTTTAATCTCAGAAATGATCTTCATGATGAAGCCCTTGAGTTTCTGTGCGTTGAGATCAGTAAACCTAAAGTTAAACCATTTCTAATATCAACGTGGTACAGA